TAGATGCTCAACCACTGAGCCATAGGCACCCCAAAAATAAACAGACTCAAAATCAGAGAATAAACTGGCAGTTGCCAGAGGGGAAGTAGGTAGGAGGATGGGTAAAATAGTTGAAAGGGATTAAGAGGTACAAACTTCCAGTTATAAAATAAAATTACAGAGACAAGAAGTGAGCATAGGGAATATAGTTAATAATACTGTAATAACGTTGTATGGTGACTACACTTACCATGGTCAGCACCAAGTTATGTATATAATTGCCAAATCACTATGTTGTACACCTGAAACTAGTGACCCATTTTATGTCAATTATTTCAAGAATAATTTTTAAGAATTTGTCTTTTTTTAAGATTTTATTTATTCATTAGAGAGAGAGAGAAAGAGAGAGAGAGAGAGAGAGAGAGAGAGAGGCAGAGACACAGGCAGAGGGAGAAGCAGGCTCCATGCAGGGAGCCCGACATGGGACTCGATCCTGGGACTCCAGGACCACGCCCTGGGCTGAAGGCGGTGCTAAACCAGTGAGCCACTCGGGCTGCCCAAGAATAATTTTTTTCTAAAAAGATCTCTCTAGATCCTTTTTAGAGAGAGAGACAATAGAAGCAGAAATGCTTAACGTAAGGCCATTGCATCTGAAACAAGGTTTTGGCAGTGGGATGCCAGGAGTGGGGTGGCGAGGGGTGGTTAAAGGGCAGGGGTGAATATATTTAAGAAAAATCATGAACAGTGCTTGGAAAGTGGGGAAAGGAAGCTCTTCAACGATATTCTTAATTGTTTGGACAGCTGCATGTGTTTACAGTTCCCTGGCACATGAAGCAGAGGACAGGAATACTGGAATGCATCCACGCATGTTGAGAAAGATGATGGCTCCAGTCCTGAAATGCTGTGTGTAACTAATCTAAGGGACATCTAGGTGGAGATACACATCTGGGGTCAGGAGAAAAGTCTCTAGAGAAAGAAAAAGAGATTTTTAGCTTAATGAACCTGTGGGTACATTTGAAAACATGATTGTGAGTGAAATCACTCAAGTAGAGTAGGAAGAGTAAGAGAAAAAATGCACATAGCAGGGGACAGAATCCAGGGAACTGGAACTGGATATTTAAAGGACTCGTAAAGGGCAGCCTGGGTGGCTCAGTGGTTTAGCACTACCTTCTGCCCAGGGTGTGATCCTGGAGCCCCGGAATTGAGTCCCACATCAGGCTCCCTGCATGGGGCCTGCTTCTCCCTCTGCCTGTGTCTCTTCCTCTTGGTCTCTCATGAATAAATAAAATCTTTTAAAAAATAAAAAAATAAAGGACTCGCAGAGATTTAAAAAAAAAATCCAGATTGAGAAGAGTTCAGAAATAACAGGAAGACCAGGAAAGCAGTGTCATAAAAACCAAGTGAGGAAGAAGCTTTGAGAAGGATGGTGTCACCTACACCAAATGCCAATAGAAGTCAAATGTCCATTGGATTTGAGCACAAAGATGCATGAGACAATTTTACTGGGGCAGTGAACACGGAAGCTGGATTTCAGTGGGTGGGGTTTACAAGTGAAAAGGAAAAAGAGACCATGAGTGGAGCCCATTCTTGCTAGATGCTTGGCTAAAAACTGGAAAAAAGAGCTAGAAAGAAAATCAGAGGTAAGAGAGTTTTTACTGTTGTTTGCTTCAGGACGTGGACATATTGAATAGGTTTGTGTTAAGGGGAAGGAGCTAGGGAATGGAGAAAGCTGGATCATGTAGGAAAAGAAGGGGTGACCCCATGGAGCAAGTTCTTAGAGGTAGGAAGTTAATGGGATTCAGAAAACAGGGGCCAGGTGAGAGGCAGGAGAGGAGAAATGAGCCCCTGAGAGAAAGGGCTCCTTATGGGGGGGGGGGTTGGGGAAGAGGTAAGAAGGAATATAACCCAGGTGGGTGTATGGGGAGAGAGTGGGGGGCAAAGAGCTCTCCTTAGCAGTAACCACTCTCTTTGTGAAGACACCAAGACATCTCCAGAGAAGAGGGTGTAAGATCATGCAGGGGCAAAGGTGAGTGAGTCTGGAATGATAACTGAGGAGACCAGGACGTGTGTGTGAGCATTGCTAAGCAGCCCTGAGGGTGCATTTAGGGCTGGATGTTTTCAAAGTGGGGGGGGGTGGACACCCATTCATGCTGCTTTGTGAGGATCAGCATAACTCAGGAGCCCAGTTTCATGGAAGGAAGAGGTAAAGCAGAGTTGACTCTGTGCTTGTGAGTCTGCCAAAGGAAAGGGGAGAGGGAGCTGGGGGGGGGGGAGAGTAGTATGGAAAACAAGTGGGGGTGAGCAGGGCCTCCTGGCGCCTGAAGAATGTAGAGGAGACCGCAACAGTGATCAGAACAGGATGGGTAGCAGGGCTTTTCTTCCCTGCATTTGCCTCAGTTAACAATGAGGTCCTTATTTGATTATTGTTCTCCTCCAGTTGGAACAGGTTCTGAGCAAGAAGAGACCGTGTCTCTGGCCCACGACCGCATCTCAGTGCCTTGCATGGTCCCTAGGGCATAGCAGGTGCTAATGAAATCTTTGTGGGATGTGTAATGACAGAGCCAGAAGCTCTGGGAGACACTGGATTATGGTTAGAAAGGCATTTGGACAATCTCCCAGGTGAATATTCCCCAGGGATAACTGGACCCAAGGCAGAGTGGCCAAAGTAGAGTAGGGACCGAGAACCAGAGGTGAAGAGGTGAACACACACGTGCGCGGGAGCCTCTGGGCCTCAGTTATGGAATTGCAGAGCTTAGAGGTGGTCCCCTCAGGGTGCCGCGACATGACAGTCAGGGACAGGAGAGAATGAGCAACTCAACAGGAGGTGGTCTCTGCAGACAAGAGCAAAAGTGTGACTTGTGGTGGACAAGGGCAGAATGGAAAATGTTGGTGGGAAAGTCATCAGAGCCACGGTGACCTACCTGGGAGGCATAGAGCAGAAGAGAGAAGAGAGAACAAAGGGGTGGAGGAGGTTGGAGAGGAGGGGGATGACCGGCCAAAATGAACTCAGCTCACATTTCTGACCACAGCTCTGTCCAGAGAGGATTTGAGTGCTGAGATTGATGGGGGAGGCTGTACCAGCTGCTTGCATCTGGCTCTGGTGCCGGCTGGAGGGAGTGTTTGCTCAAACCAGGAGCAAGCCACGGGAGCGGCCACCCAGGCCAAAGTGATCACCGTGAAAGGAAATATTCTGTTCATGGGCACATCTCAATTTTAGGGAGAAATTCACTGAAAATCAGTTATGGCACAATTGCTTCTTTTCAAAATTCCTCTGCAAATACTTTTCCTTCCACACGAGTGTTCTGCATCAGGTCCACCTTTGCTATTAGCACATAATCAAGTTTATGGTCCAACTGGTCAATCTCTGCAAACATCTGGGTAAAAAGGTGAGCATCATAGCATGATTTGCGATAAGCCTGTGACCCAGTTCGTTGTAAGCGTTTTATTCTCAGGATTATTTTTTTATTCTAATTGCAAGTTATTTTCATTACTTCTAGATTGATGCTAAGGATTTTTTTTTTAAACCAAAGAACCAGCTTTTGGATTCAGCACCACCTTTTCCCATTTACCAATTTATGAATTTCTGCTTTTTATCTGTGTTTCATTTCTTACTTCTGCTTTTCTTTGGCTTCTTTTCTTATTCTCTATTGTTCAGTTTTTTGAGTTGAATATTTAGTTCTTTCTATTTTTGATTAAGTAGTTAGACTATAAGTTTTCTCATGAGCTCTGCTTTATCTATATTCTATAGGTTTCATTATTGTTGGTTCCTAGAAATTTTACAATTTGATTTCCATGCCTTCTTTTTATACCAAGAACATTTAATAAAGTGCTTTTAAAATTCTTTAGTGGAAAATTCCAAACATACCCAGAAGTAGAGAGAATAGTATAATGAATTCCTATATACTCACCACCCAGCTTCAACAGCAATCAGTATCTGACCAATCTTGGCTCATCTTAACCCAATCCCAGACATCTTATCATTTCCTCTTTAAGTATTTCAATATGTAAATAGATTTTTAATCTCCTACTGGAAGAGACATTTTGTTTCTGGCTTTATTAATGTCTGATTTTATTATGTGATGATCATTGAATGTTTTCTGTACTGTTTATATTCTTGGAAAATCTGTAATTGACAAATATTACCCAGACACTTAGGAAGAAGGTCCATTTTCTGTTCCCAAGATATGAATTCGATCTCCCTCAACAGCTCTTCCTCACTCAATGTCACAGACTAGAAGTAGGAAATGTAGACTTCTCTTTATATTGCTTATAATTCCCACTTTACGGATGGAGGTGCTGTAAGACTCAGTTTGTGAATCCCCCTTGCTATTTTATCTCCTTGTACCTGTTAGTATTACACAGTGCCTGTCGGGAAGGGGGAGGACCTGAATCCCATCCTGTTGGATACTAAGACTAAGCTCTCTACTTTCTTTTGTCTTTGCTTGTTACACCATAGCCTATCTTCGGTTTTCAGATTTGATCACAAGGTTCTCCCAAACACCTTACACCTTATCCTATTAGGCCTAAGCAGTCCTATCAGTCAAGGTTCTTGGTTGCAAGCAATAGAATCCACTGGAGTGTTTAAACAGAAAATAAACTTGTTGGGACGCCCGGGGGGCTCAGTGGTTGAGCGTCTGTCTTTGACTCAGGTCACAATCCCGGGGTCCTGGGATCGAGTCCGCATGGGGCTCCCCGCAGGGAGCCGGCTTCTCCTTCTGCCTGTGTCTCTGCCTCTCTCTGTGTCTCCCATGAATAAACAAATAAAATATTTATTTAAAAAAAATTTGTCGGGATCCCTGGGTGGCGCAGCGGTTTGACGCCTGCCTTTGGCCCAGGGCGCGATCCTGGAGACCCGGGATCGAATCCCATGTCGGGCTCCTGGTGCATGGAGCCTGCTTCTCCCTCTGCCTGTGTCTCTGCCTCTCTCTCTCTCTCTCTCTCTCTCTCTCTCTCTCTGTGTGTGTGTGTGACTATCATAAAAAAAAATTGTCAAAGGATAGAAGGTAGCTTACAGTGTTTCCAGGAGCAGCAGAGAATTGGGGGGGGGGGGAGTCTGCAGCCGGGAACCACAGCCACTCACCCCACAGGCCTTCTCTCACACCTCGCAGCCACTGAGGGAAGGTGCAGGTCCCACCACGACAGTGAACACTGGAGGACCCTATCGGGGCCTCTGACACTGCTATTCTGAACGCTGTGTGTCCATCCACCACCACAAGCCCCCCTTTCCAGAAAGACACTCCAGTCAGCTTTCTTTTCTTAGATTGTCTTCTTCCAAATAAAAGTCTGACTGGCAGATTCTAGGTCAGTTTTTGTGCCCAGACTTCAAGGGAAACTGGGACACTGAGTTCTGGTTTCTACCTCCAGGCAAAGAAGTCCTAATGCAGAGATTCCCCCCACATAGGAAAGGCCTTATTTGCCACAAATATGGTAAGTGCCTTTTGCAGCAGGGTCACAGAAGAAACGTACAGATAGACATTCACTCCTAATTAAAATAGTTCAAGAATCTAGAATCAAGTATTCCCCTGACACCATGTTGGATGTAGTTGCTTTTTGAATGCATCCAAGATGTTTTCTAAAAATGTTCCTATCTTTATAAAAAATAATGTGATCCTAAGTTTGGCCTTTCCCTTCTTGCTCCTTGTTTCTGTATCTGAAGCTCTACACTAGGCTTATGTCTTCCTACCCCAGATACTAGAATCTTCTGATGGCTCTCTGCCTTTTCCTTTTCCTTTCTCCCCACTATCCTATATCCCGTCCATTCTCAATTCCAACATTATGCATTGGTGGCCTACCTTCAGGGTCCAAGCTTTGTATCATCTCATGGTACTTCCTCATTCAGCAAACACACGCTGTGTGACTACATGTGTGCTGTGTGCCATGCTAGGCAATTTGCTTGGCTTCAGGGATTCAAGTATGAGTAAAATAATGCCTAATTCTCAGAGCCTCTCAATCTAGTGGAGAAACAGTCAACCACGTAGGAAAATACAACATAATTCAAGGTGCTCTCACTACAGCACATGGGAGAAATACCCAAACCAGCTCTGTGGTCAGAGGTCATTTAGGGAGGCTCCTGGAAGAGGCTCCTGAACAGGGTCATGAAAGATAAACTGAATTTACCCAGGAAAAGGGGGGTGCTGGAAACACAAGAGACCGCAGGGAGAGGCAGGCACAGGGGCGCTTAGCGCTCTGAGGAAACACTGCGGGTGCTTTAACACAGGACTGTAGGCTGCCTGAAATAATGCAGCAGAAGACTGGTACCTTAGAGCAGGATAGGACATATTGAGGAGTTGGGATGCTTTTCTCAAAGCCAATGGGAGGCAACTGAAGGATTTTTGCATTTTAGAAAGACGGACCTAGCACCAGTAGACATAGAACGCACTGGGGGAGCTTGCTGGCGGCAAGCAAAATGTCACGAGGCTATTGCCAAAACCCAAGAGGAAAACCCATGAGGCAGTAATGATAGTAGCTGTGGGGATCCTGAGAGGGACTGGAGAGGTGTCAAGATGAAATCAGCAGGACTCAGAGGCTGTGGGAGCAAAGCTAGACTCACAGACGACCCCACATTCCCATGTTCCTTGGGTGAAGGAATTCTAAAGCAAGGTTATGAGAAGCAAATTTAGGGGAAGAGGGCAGAGTGTTGTTTTGAGTATCACAAGTTTGGGACAGCCAAGGAGTGATGGAACAAGAATCTGGAAGCCAGAGAGATGCCCCAGGGGAGGCCTGAGAAACAGTGCTTCTCAACCTTGGGTGCACACTGCCAACATTTGGAAAGCTCTGAAAAATACTGATGCCTGGGCCCTGGGCCTGGAGCTTCTGATGGAATACCAAGCCTGGGTTACAACCGGCAGCCAGGCTTGAGACCTCCTGGCACAGAGAGGAGGGTACAGAGCCTGCAGGATGGCCCTCCCCTCTCTACCCCTACCAGCCAGGTGACCCATCCTTAGTTTCCTCCTCCAGAAAATGAAGATTATAACACTTCAAAGAACTGAAAATAGCAAATCAAACAATATGTGTAAAGCTCCTAATACCATTCCTGGCACATACAACATACCAGACAAGGATTCACTGCCCGAGTCTGGGGAAGGGCATACTCTTGGCCTGCATTCCCAAAGAGAATGGGGCTTTCTGTTTGGTGGGAAGGGAAAGGAGGACTCACCCCAACCTGTCACAAACAGAGGGACTCCCCCTTGGTGTGCACACAACCTGGTGGCTCACACAACAGTCTTCAGGACTTACTGCAAGATATGGGAGGCAGCCAGATGTCTCAACACTTGAAGCAGGACCCTGGCAGCTAGGACTCTCAGTAAAGTACACAACATTGAGGTGCAACAAAATGTTCAGGTGCTGGGCAAAATATTCAGGAAGCACCACTGTGTGCCAGGCACGTGTCTACTAGGCATTCCTTTATTCCATAACCAACGTGACAGAGTCCCTATGTGTGCCAAATGCCACACTAAATTCTGGGGAGATTGTAATAAACCAGAAAGAGACAATCTAGAGCCCTGCGGCAAACAGCCCCTTCTCCTTAACGTCTGTCTCCGCCCACCCCGGCATCCCCACAGCCACTGCCTTCGTCACTCTGTCACTTGTCTCATGGATTTCAGTAAGAACCCCTCACTCTGTTCCCCATCACCAGTAACAAGCTTCTCCGAGTCACTTTACACTCAGATTACAGATTATTTATCGAATAATCAGTCAAAAAATGCAATTACACAACAATGGGATTATGTGTCACAAGTACAGGATGCTGGGACTACATATTAAGGGCTTCACCCAAATACAGAAGCCAGAAAGGCTTCCCTTGGAAGTGACAGCCAACCAGAGAGGAGGGGTGAGGAGACTTGCCCCCTCTCCCCATGGCTCCTCAATACCTCCATGCCCTGCTTCATACGCTCCCTCAGCCTCGACTGCCCCACAGCCTGGTTCTCCAGGTGCTCCACTCATCCTTGGTCAACCCAAACCCACGTCCTCCTTGGGGGTCTCTCCTGACCACACTCTGCTCTCCAACCCCCCCCCTTGTGTGTCCACTGTCCGCCATCACTAGGTACCATCAGACCTCCAATCCTTCACTGCAAGGGATTCTCTCAGGGACCTGGCTGAGTCTCTTGGGTCTGTTGATCGCTCTACCCAGCAGCTAACACGATTCTGGGAGTACTGATCAGGATTCAGAGAAACAGGACCAAGAGGGTGTGTATGTATGTGTGTGTACAAGGGAGAAAGAGACAGAGAAAGATTTTTAAGGAATTGGCCCATGCAATCATGGTCGACAAGTCCCAACTCTACAAAGTGGAGAGCCAGGACCAGAACCCAGGTCACCTGGCAGGAGAGCTCTGCCAACAGCTGTGCCAAAAACACTCCAATGAGGACTGGCTGAGAAGTCATACAAGGCCCCTTGTGGGAGAACTGACTTCTCTGCAAGCTGCACTTCAGAGAAGCCACGTCCCACTCTAGCAGGCAGAGAAACCCCACTTATGGGACGCCTGGGTGGTTCAGGGGTTGGGCGCGATCCTGGAGTTCGAGCATCGGGTCCCGCATCAGGCCCCCTGCATGGAGCCTGCTTCTCCCTCTGCCTGTGTCTCTGCCTCTCTCTCTAGGTCTCTCATGAATAAATAAATAAAATCTTAAAAAAAAGAAAGAAAAAAATAAACTCCCTTTCTGCTAGAAGGCAAAGAATTCAGAAGCATTCCAAGCTGTAGTGCCAGGATCCAGGTGCCTACTCTTCCTCCAGGCAGCATGAGACCTCCAGCAGCTGTACCATCATCACCTCTGGGTCGTGTTTCTGGTGTGAGGGGTGCCACGCTAAGCTCCACATTGCAGACTTCATCTTGACCTTCCAGCTCCTGAGCAAATATAAACAAGTTCACCAACACACCTTCCTTCCTTTTGGCCTCCCTTCTTTCAATATTTATTTGAATACTTTCTCCATGCCAGGCCCTGGGTCAGATGTTAGGAACGTAAAGATGAAGAAGGCAGGGTCCCGGCCTCGGAGAGCTCACATGCAGCAGCATGGTGAGGCTATGACAGGGCTCCTTGCGGGGGCAAACCTGCCCTCTTGCCTTCCCTTCACACCCAACCGGTCTCCCTGGGCAGCCTATTGTACGTGCTGACTGTTCACTACTGTTCACCCCAACTCATACAGAAAAATACTGTAGCCAGAGAGATGAGGCACCCTGGCAAGACATAGCCTGTACCCAAACAGCAAGTCCAAGGCAGACAGACTCATTTCTTTCTAAGCCTGCAGCCCACAAAGGTCAACCCTCCTCTTAGAAGCTGTTGAATAGTTCTGACCACTAGAGGGCACCAGCTAACCCCCGAACTGTCCAAACTTGCCCAGCTCTGGGTCACTAAGCTCCCAGGTCCCTAATACTAATACCGTTTATCTTTTTTCAAAATGAGTCTTGCAAATCAAGTAAACTTTAAACTGATCACACAGACTTTATTCTTGAGCCAATAAGGAGGTAAGGGGAGAGGGAATCAACTATCCTAATAGAAAGAAAAAAGGCCACACATTGACTAATTGAGAAATACATCAGAACCTATGACAAAGGATTTTTTTAAAACCTATGCTCATGGGACACCTGGGTGGCTCAGTGGTTGAGCGTCTGCCTTCCGCCCAGGGCATGATCCTGGAGTCCTGGTATCGAATCCTGCATCAGGCTCCCTGCATGGGGACTGCTTCTCCCTCTGCCTGTGTCTCTACCTCTCTCTCTGGGTCTCTCATGAATAAAGAAATAAAATCTTAAAAAAAAAAAAAGATGCTCATTATCCTAAGCATCTGATAACCACAACATCATAACCTCACATTATTGACAAGCCATTGTACAGCAACGGTATCCAAATAAAGGCCAGATTATGGACCAGGGCATCAAAAATCAAAGAGACAGATCCAAACACATGGTGTTTGAAAACCAAACCATGGGGGGAAACAAATTTTTTTTTTTGAGTAGACTCACATCCAACATGGAGTCCAACGTGGAACTTGAACTCGACCCTGAGATTAAGACCTGAGCTGAGATCAAGAGTCGGACACCTAACTAACTGAGCTACCCAGGCACCCCAGATAGTCTCTCTCATGGACCTCAGGCTGTGCCTTGTCAAAAAGCTTTTGGTGTATAAAAGAGCTCAGGAACATTGCTGTATAACTGGAGTATCAGAAATGTGGAGATTAAGAGTGAGAGAGAAAACGAATTGAAGTATCTGAGGATTATGGGTAACTTGTACCTTTGGGGGATGTAAGAGGGAGAATAAATCTACAAGGTCTCTGGGCATGTTGAGAAGAACTGCCTTCCAGCTTGGTGAAGTAGCAGCTACATTTGGCTGTTGGAGGGTGGGGGTGAGTTTCTTAGCTGAGAAGTCTTCTTCTGTGACTTCTGAGCTCAATGGGCTCAAGGCAATGGTGGTGGTTATGTATTCAGCTCTACCATTTAATGGTTCTAAGCCCCTGGGTCAAGTGTCCTTGAAATCCCCACACCTCGGCAAATAAACATGCTACTCATTGCATTGTGGGGATTAAATGAGCAAAGATCTGCATAGCGCTTAGTGCAAGGAAGGAGAGGGATGCTGGCTAAGAGGTGACCATTATTATTATTAGCCTAGGAGAAAGAAAAGCAGGACACCACCCACCACTGCCCTCTGCAGGGTGCCAGTGGCCTGGGCTCTGCGTGGGTCTGTGCTACACAGATACACCTCATGCCCCCACTCCCTCCAGCCCCCGTAGTTTATGAGGACTGTCTTTACAGGTATGTGGTCTGAATTCATCACCGGATATCCTCACAATGCTCCTTTTTGGAGTATTTCCTTCTGGAACCATCTGCACCTTGGCTCCTAGGAATCCTAGCACTTTCTGAGCTCTTCTTCCTTTCCAATGACCCCTTCCTGGTTGGTGGCCTTCTCCCTCTCTGTGCCCATGAGCATCCCCCAGGATTCTGTCCTTGGCCCCCTCCCCTTCTCCTTTAAGCTCTTAAGTGATTTCATCCACTGTAACTGTCTGTGGGTCCTTGTACACTGACACTGACCTTCTTCATCTCTAACCTGCAGTTTCCTATCTTATCTTCCAGGCACCCAGTTACAGGTGTTTATATGAGCTTTAGGATTTATATGCCCCAAATTAATCAGCCATCTTCTCCTAGCCACCTGCCCTGTATCCATGGCTCCCTTACATTCTTCTCTTATTGCTACTATCAGTGGAGTCTCCGTGTAGTGAATTCCCCAAACCAGAAACCCAGCAATGATCTTCCCCATTCTTCTCCTGCCATGTTGCATCCTTCTCCAGGTCCTGCTGGATCTGCTCTCTCAAACATCTTCAGCCACCTCTAACTCTCATGCGGAACCTCAGCATCTTTACTTCAGCCTCTGACAAACATTCTACTACTTTGTGCCCAGTCTGCCCCCCACCAAGGACTGCCTCTCCACTCATTTCCTACCTCAGCCCTCCTCGCAGTGCATGAGCTAGTAAGACTACATTGTGTTTCCCAAAACCAGAAAGCCATTCCATGCCTCCGTGCCCTTCTCTGTGCCACCCCTTTTACTAAGGGCAGCCTTCCCACCTGACTTTGCCCGGCTACCTCCTACTCGCTGCAGTGGGTTGAACTTCTCAAAAGTTAATGCCCAACCAGATTTGCGGTTATTACATTATTTGGCAAAAGGGTCTTTGCACATATAATTAAGGATCTTGAGATGAGATTATCCTGGATTATCCAGGTGTGGCCCCTAAATCCAATGACAAATGTCCTAATAAGACGAGGAGAGTCATGTGGACAGCCACATGAAGACAGAGGCAAAGACCCAAGTTATGTTGCCCCAAACAAAGGAGCACCTGTTCCACCCGGAGATGGAAGAGACAAGGAACAAAATCTCCTCTAGAGTCCTCAGGGGGCCCATGGCCCTGATGACACCTCAATTTTGGACTTCTAGCTTCCAAAACTTAGGAAAATTAATTTCCATTGTTTCAAGTTACCACGTTTGTGGCAGCCCTAGGAAACAACACACCCAACTCATCATTCAGAACTCAGTTCACTAATCATCTCCTTCAGAAAGTCCTCTCTGAGCTCTTCTTACCACCACCTGCCTCCTGCCAGCTTGCATCAGATTCCCTTCCTGGGTCTGTCTCACTCAATAAACTCCTGAAAGGCAGCAACCGGGAGCTGATCCCCATTGTCATAAGAGGGCTCAGCACTGTTCCAGGAAGACAGCAGGTGCCCCACCAGACCAACCCATGAGGATGTCAGCCCATGCACACCCCCTAGGGCCTGGGCATTGCGGCAGGAACTTCACAAACATTACCTCGCTGAGTCATCTCAATAAGCCTAGGAAGCGGGTATCAACTCTGTTTCATGGATGCAGACACCGGGGTGCAGCAACTTGCCCAAGACCTTCACATAAGCAGAGTTAGGATGTACATCCAAGATCTCCTCAGATCACAGGTCCTACTGTGCAGGGGTACAGCATTCCCAAAAGACCTGCGGCCAACTAGGCGAAGGATGCTGGAGAAGTCGGGGGGGGGGGGAGAAAGATTGAGCCTTAATTAGCTAGGTTTGAGACAGAGCCATTGTGTGTGCACACCAGCAAGTATGATAACAAAGGCTTAGGTTAGAAACTAAAGATGGCTTAACTCATAATGTGGCCTAAATGTATCACAGCAGCTTTAATCCTGAGCCAGGAGTTTGGTGATGAGAAAGGGCTAAGAAAAGATGAAGAGGGAACAGGGAAGAAAGACAGGAAGGAGAAGGGATCGCTCTGCTAAGTTTGGAAACAGAGCATGCTTTTCCCTCACCTTCCACCCCACTTCCTGTGGGCCACGCCTCTGCCCCCGCTGGTGGCCTTGTTCTCAGGGCATCAGTGCCTAGTGGGTCTGAGCTCCCACTATGGCACTGCACCAGGTACCGACCTGAGGCTAACTGACATCCTGCCACCACCACCACCCCCCCCCCGGCCCAAGACATCACGTCTAATTCCTGGAGCCTGGGAATATCACACACAAAAAGGACTTTGTATATTTGATTAAGCTAAGGATCCTAAGAAAGGGAGATTGACCAGGTGGTCTGAAACACAAGCACCAGGATCTTTCGGAGTGAGGGGCTGGAGGGAGAAGAGAAGGCGGTGTGACCCCAGAGGCACATTGGAGAAATGCAGACACAAGCCAAGGAGTGCTGGAGCCAGGAGGCTGGAAGGCCAAGAAACAAGTTCTGCTCTAGGCCCTCCAGGGGGAGTGTGGCCCTGCTGAACAGGCAAATTACAAATGAGGGTCTGTCCCTAAGAAGGACAGCTCTTTTCACACGTGGGAACCTATAGATTCTTCAAAGAACCCTACATTTGTTCCAAGGGACTCCGATGTCACCCCATCCAGTGCGTAGCATGCAGTGAATGCCAGATCTGGTGGTGAATGAATGAAGAGGACAGGGAGCAAGGGGAGGAACTGGGCTGTCACCTGCAGGCACAGATCCGGTGACCCATTCATCAGACCTCTGCTATTTGATTACAGCCCATAGGGAAGTGTTATTCCTTGTAATTTCCTTTTCTCCCCACCTGGAGTCTTTCCCCCATGTTCTGTCATGTATTATAATTTACAATAATTTCCTATTTTCAGTAATGTGTATCTCTAGTTTTCTGTGCAAATTTAGCCTGAAGAGCAGCTGAAATCTTTATGCTAAAGAAAGAGTCAAGGTTATGAGCCAAAGTTCCTCAGTCATAACTTCGGGAAGGCCACTCAAGTTAACCAGGAGCAAAAAGCTATAATTATCAACCCAAAAGAAAGCCAGTTGCCTAGAAAAAGCAAAGCCCATACTGGACACCATTCACAGCATCTCCAATATACTTTTCTAAGCCATGTTAACATTAAAAAAGGGAAAACAGCAGCCTCATCTATCCTGCAATCTCCCCAAAAGTATTATCCTCCATAATTATATTTATACTTCTCTGAGTTCTTGTAGGTCTTTTAAGTCTGAAAATAACCGGTAAAATAAGACAATATGGGGTCCCGTGAGAGACTGCCTATAGAATCAGCTCTAGCATTGATGCCAGAATAATCCCCAGGGCTCCTCTCCCAGTTTTGCTTCATTCAACAAAACAATGTTGAAAACCCACATCTGAAGTCATCTACTACTTTCAAGTACTACAGAGACAAGTAGGAAATAAATCATCGCATATAGGAGACAGTACTTAAGGGAAGTACTGCAAATACCCTATAGAATATGTGAACAAGCAGAGCCACAAAGCCCCCTCAGTTCCTAGGAAACCTTTCAATCTATGCAATTAATTAGTACCACCTAGGAGAGCCTGGAAGTCCCCTCTGCCTTTGCCCTCCTGCTGCCAACTGGGGTGGCATTCCTACCTGGGATTTATTCGCCCATCAGATAACCATCAGTTGTTAAACACCAAATGGTGGCCTCCAACTTCTGCTAGAGCAGTGTTTCTGGAACTCTGATGTACACTGGAGTCCACTGAGGATCTTGTTCAAATGCAGATCCGGATTAATTAGATAAGAGGCAGAGCCTGAGGTTCCGCATTTCTTAAGGAGCTCCCAGGTGGTGAGGACACTGCTGGGGTGAGAAGCACAGGTGAGTAGCAAGACATTAGAGCACTTTTTGCCCCCCACTTAAAACAAAAACAAACCAACTTCTGAAGGCATCAGATTCTAGTAGCAGGAGTGTGAGGTGTCAAGGTTTCCGTGAGGGCAGAGAAGCTGAAAAGCATTTGGATAAAGGGTGGTGCTTATTAAAGCAAGTGTGGTTTCAGAGCTGCTGCCCTGTTCAGCAAAGGCTGTCAGGTACTATATCTAAAAACAGAAAGCCCAATGTGGGACTCAATCCCAGGACCCCGGGATCAGGCCCTGAGCTGAAGGCAGACACTCAACCACTGAGCCACCCAGGTGCCCCTGGACCTCCTCATCTTCACCCGGCTGCACCAACAGGGACCATCCCTGCCACACACTTCCTGTTGACCTCATCATTGAGTTGAGAATACTGTTGGTGATCAGAGTGGGTGAGGAATCAGGGATGCCGAGGAAGGAAAAGTCCAGAGAAATTGCCAGCCCGATACGATGCCTGGTACACGTCTGCTAGAAGAGGCTGTGATAGTGACGGTTGCATTGAGGCTAGTGGACTGGAGCCATCAGTAGGATACTCTCTTCTTTCTTAGAGTACAAGCCCTTGGGCCACGTCCTTTTCTGCCTGGGATGTCCAGCTTCTGGCTCCTAGCAGTGCTCACAACATGCTATTATCACGGGACTCGTGAGAAGCAGGAGCCCGTAAAGGAGGCTCACAAACGCAGCTGAGGCCTCTGACAACAATCACACCAGCCCAAGGCAACAGGATACCCCACAAAATGCTTGCTGGCGCCACATCAGTGTCCCTGACTAGGCTCTTCTGCAAAATGACAGAGCAAGCTGAAGCAGTTGGCCCTGGAGGTCACAGAGTAAATCAAGAAGTAGGATCACAGTGTGACAGCAGCTTGCTGTGCACTACTAGGCAATGTCAGGTCTCCTCCTTGCTTCTGATTGTCCCAGAGTAAAATGATGTGTGGACTTGATGGTCTTTTAGGCTCCTTTCAGAGGAAGCCGACTGCCATCCCACATTCTGTGACGCTCCTCGCTTCAGAAATAGAGCCTAGGAATTCAACTCCCTCCATACCTTGTCCTGCTGGTACCAGAGAAGTGCAGGGGGTCAGCCAGAGCTGTTTCCTCCACCCTCTGACAAGACTCAGGTTTTCCCACTTGATTAAATTCCCAGTCCCATTAGTGCAACTAGGAAAACCTGCTCTGGGTATTCAAGGTGACAGCTGGAGGGAGAGCTCTGAAGTCACCCAGAACACTTTGTCTTAGAGCAATTCAGCTGAGATTACCAAATATTCACTACATTTTTCTTTTTCAATTACTTCTTCTTCCCCTTCCCCTTTATAAATCCATAAATCCTCAGTTTCTGGAATTGCAAAGAAACGCTCCCACCCCCAAAATCCATCTTTTTCAGTGTTTGGAAGCTACAGGTCACTTCTATAAAGGAAAAAAGAAAAAGAAAAAGAGAGAAAGCAATATTTGCAACAATAACATAGGTATTCTGTTGGTGATTGCGGTATTCTCCAACAAAGGTCTTTAGATACCAGGAGTCTAAGTGCAGATCAATATTTAATTAGAATTGTCTAATTTCTGAGTCTTCCTAGTTTTGCTTTGATGCTGGTTGTTGAATCATTTGAAATGACTCTGATGTTAAGAGGCTTCTGCACGTGGGACGCCTGGCTGGCTCAGCGGTTAAGTGTCTGGCGTGATCCTGTAGGTGATCCTGGAGTCCCGGATCGAGTCCCCACATTGGGCTCCCTGCATGGAGCCTGCTTATCCCTCTGACTGTGTCTCTCATGAATAGTCTTAAAAAGAAAAAAAAGAGGGCCTTCTTCAGTCTCCCACACAGAGAGGACCCAGCTGGCCAGCAAGCACCGGATAATGTCACACCTGCAAGAGGGGGCATCTAAGGCCCCAGTCATTTGTCCAGTTTGGGTCAACTTAACAAAGCTCTCAGGAGGAAGTACTGTGGCCTTTTCAGGAGAGTTAAAGCTTTCCTAGAGATGAGAAAGAAAATATGGAATGAATGAAAATATCACACAACAGCACAAACCCCACAGAACACTGCATGAAGTCCACTGCAAAAGAGACTTCTGGGCAAAATGAAGTCATTAATTGAGTCCCTGTCTTATTTTAGGTGCCTTGTTTATATTTATTTACTTTATTTCAGTGGCCACCTTGTGACCTTGTAAATACATTAATTATTCCCATTTTACAGAAGAGGACACTGAGGCCCAGTCCAGAGTCTGGCCCAGCTGGTAGGGGTGGAGCTGAGATGTGAATGACCCTTGGGCTCCAGCATCCACAGCTCAAGACTCTGCTTGGTTCTATGTGGAAACTAGGTCAAGATCCGGGCACACCTGACCGCCATCCTGCAGAGAAGGATTCAGGAAAAGATGGCCATGAGGGCCCCGGGGTGCCCCCACTTTCTGGGAGTGTGATTGGAGCCTCCAGGCTGGGTCGGAGTACAAGTCTGCCTCACCTGAATCGGGTGAGGCGTGGTCCCCCTCTCCCAGAAAGAGCTGCTGCGGCTGGAGGGCTTGGTGAGGAAGGCGCCTGTACCCCACCTCCAGCCACCTACCCACCTTCACTTGGACCCCCCGCCTAGCCACATGCGGGTACTTACCGCCCTGGGCAAGCCCTGGAGCCCAGCTCTGCGAGCAAACACGAGAAATTAAACAGTTTGCACAGGATGAGATTTGGCCCATGGAAGGTGCCTGCAGCTGGTGGTTAACACCAGCAGTAAGAGGATCAACGCCGAGTCCCCGGGCTTAAAAGGGGGGGTGGGGTGAGAAGTGTGCGCGCTCCCTTTTACCCATTCACGTTAGTTAATTTGGATGATAAGGGTTGGTGTTTAATCCCTTTGTGTGCGAGTGAATATACTGAAATCGACAACCCCTGAGAGGGCACCCGGGCTGGCAGAGCGACCTGCGGGAGAGTGCGGGTCGTGTCCAATCTGGCGTGAAGCAGAAAAGAAACGTCCCGAGGAGACTGAAAGGCAGACGGAGAGGGACACCCTAGGGGTGCGTGGTGCCCTGCAAGCCCCACACCTCCCAGGCCGCGGCGGGTGGGCCGCTGTCTTCCCCGAGGCCCCGCACCCCAGGCCTGCCTCTGCGCCCTAGGAGCCCCCTGGGTCCCACAAGCCGGCGGGGCCCCTCCCTAGCCACCCCTGGCGAGGACTCCCGACACCCAGAGGGAGAGTCCGGGCCCTGCCACGGCCGAGCGAGGTGGAGAGTTGAGGTGCAAAAGGCGGGGTGCAAAAGGGAGGGGCAAATATCCAAAGGGATGTCCCGGTGGTTCTCAGATGGAACAGATCAGAAAAAAAGGGGAGAGCTCGGTGGCTCCCAGGGCAGGTCGTAAAACAAAAACCATTTTTATAGCTTCCATCTGCAAGAGAGCTCAGGCCCCAGCCGAACCCCGCACGCCCGGAGCCCCCCGAGCGCGGGTGGGAGGCTGCAACCGCGAGCGGAGCCCCGCGGGCGGGGGAGGAGGCCCCCCGACCCGGGCCCGGCTGCCCGCAGGGGCGCAGGAGGCCGAGAGAGTTCCCAGCCGCCGCCGCCCCCCTCCTTCCCCTCGGGCCCGTCCAGCAAACCTCTTCCCCGGTTTCTGTTCGTGCCTTCCCTCCCTCCTCCTCCCCCGATATATTCGCTCTCTAAAACCATAAAAAAGAGATCAACTTCCCTAACTTCACGGAGCCCTTTTCAGTGACAAATATTGATGCCCAAAGTGTCTGCGCTCTCCCGCCCCCAAACGTTAAGAAAAGGCGCCCGCGAAAGGGGGACATAAAAAGTTAACAATGCTGTGAAAATATGTTTGCAGAAAATAGACAATCGTTGGATTAAACGTATTCAAGTATGAAATAATGCCTTTTTGTGTCAAAACTTGGGCGATGGGCGGGTACAAAAGTTCCCTGTGGCAGCTACTTGCTCCCTTTGTGAGCCGTGCGCTTTGGCGTCTCCACTTGGGCGCATTACTCAGAGCACTCTAAGCGCGATTGTTTCTCCCTTTCTAATGACATTTACCGGATCAAAACATGCTGTTAATTCGATCAGAAGGCTTCACCCTCCCTGACAAAGCCACAATAATTTCTCCTGAAGTTTGTTAAATTGACCAAAATTAGGCAAATGAATAGGGGTCTGTAGGCGCCCCCTCTCGCAGGTGACGTCGTATAATGCTCGCCTGGGCCAGCTGCATTCCCCCTTTTCTTTTCGGCCCACTCCTCTCCGTGTTCACCCCCCCAATCCTCCGACCCCCCCCTTCACACACACACACATGCACACGCACACACACACACACACACACATACACACACGCCTGCCTGTCTCTCCTCCCCCACCCTCTGGCATTATTAAAATTTAGCCCCAATGAAACTATTCATACTTTTCAATGGACATTTTCGTATAGGATAATAGGCTACAAATTGAGCCTCTTCCCCCCGCGAGGAGAGAGCCCGAGGAGGGGGGAGAAAAGAAAGCCACAGCGACGTGGTCAGGGAGCAAGGGGGGAGCGTCGCGTGCCAAAGACCCGCGGGAGGGGCGAGGCGAGGCGGGAGCCTCGTGTGCCAGCCGCAGCCCCACACCTGCCGGGATGTCCGGACAAATAAAGCGGTGTAAACAAAAAGGGGGGAGATGGACGTGTCACCAAGTCGTGTGAGAAAAGCCTGGGAACAAACGGGGCGCCTCCGTCTCCAAGAGCTCTCCCTTGAGCCCGGCGGAACAGCCTATTAAAGGCTTACTTAATTACTTTAATGACTCTGGACAGGCTTTAAAACGCACTCGGCGCTGGGACTGCGGGCTTGCTGGGATTTGTAAACAGGCAATCGTGTGAGACTCAGCGGTGGGACTAAAGGAGGCGACACTGTTTTGTGCGGGTCCTCGCCCCCCGGTGCCCGCGGCCGCTGCGCCCCGGCGCCCTGCGCCTGCTGCAGGCGCCCGCACGCCCGCCGGCCCCGGTTTACCGCCTCCTTTTCCCGCCGGGGCTGTTGCCATGCAAATGCTACTCCCCCCGCCGATCACGTGTCCTTTGAAGGGCCACGTGGATTAACAAAGCTGATCTGCCCCCAGCTCGCCCCCCTCGGCTGCTAATTTTTTTTTTCTCTTAAACTTCTTTAAAACTGATCTTGAATGCATACATCCCCCAAACGCAGCTCCCCTAATCCTATGGAATAATTCAACTCGTGAATGCACTTGCAGCCCTAGATGACCGCTTTATAAGGCGGCCCCTCGGAGTTGGGAGGCTGCAGTCTACCTGGGACGCCCGAGGAGGCACACGAGGCGGAAAGGGCACGGGTGCCTCGCGCCACCGCCTCCCCCGAGGGCGCGTCCTGACCAGGATGTCAGACAGGCTCAAGGAACGCAAAGTGAGTCCGCTGAGCCCAGGCGGCCCTTGCGCCCCGACCGCGGGGGGCGTCCGACTCCCCGAGCCGCCCCCTGGCGGGCCCGACGTCGGGGACGCGGCACACGGGACTGTCGTGCGGAGGAATCTCGAGGGGCTGGGGGGAGGGAAAGCGGCTGGAGAGACGCGAGGCTCCTCCACGCGGGGGAGCCCACGCCCGAGGCTGCTCCGCCACCTCCCCGGCGGCCTGGCGCTCGGCTGGACGGCCCGGCCCGAGCGGGCCGAGGGGCTGGAAGAGGAGCGCACCGGCCGGGGCGTGGGAGGCCGGGGCCCCTGGGACCCTCGCGGGGAGGGGCCGGCCCCGGGCGGCGTGGGGGGCTGGGACGACGGTGGACACGCAGCCACGGCCGTGCCTTTGACGACGCCCTGGGCAAAACTATCCTAAACGTACGAACCTCTGTTCGCAGAGAACCCCTGTTTCCCACAAAGTCATAGAAAAGCGGAGGAGGGACCGGATCAACCGCTGCTTGAACGAGCTGGGCAAGACGGTGCCCATGGCCCTGGCGAAGCAGGTAACGTCAGAGGCCGCGCCCGCAGGCCCGGGCGCGGGGCTCCTCGGCTGCCACCCCCGCAGGGGTGCAGGGAGCGCGGAGACGGCGAGCGCCTCCCCTGCGGGCTCGCGTCCCCGGGGCCCGGGCCCCTGGCGCCTGGCGCGGGCCTCGGCAGCGCCCTGCCCGCCGCTCCGCGCACAACCGCGCCCCCGGCCTGCCCGGCTCGGCTCGCGCCCGGAGGGTCGCTGCGAGGAGCCCCTGCTCCTTCTTGCAGAGTTCCGGGAAGCTGGAGAAGGCGGAGATCCTCGAGATGACCGTCCAGTACCTGAGAGCCCTGCACTCCGCCGATTTTCCCCGGGGAAGGGAAAAAGGTGGGCAACGGGGAACCCGGGCAGGGAGAGGCTTGGGGTGGGGTGGGGGTGGGGGGTGGGAGCGAAGGCCTTCCCGGGATACGGCCGGAGGCGGGGGCGGGCCGTGGGGGTGGGGGCGCTGGAGGGCAGGTCGTGGGGGTGCTGGCTGCGTCGCCTCCTCAGGTGGGGAAGGGGGTGGCGCCAGGCTCTTAAGGAAAAGGGGGTCGCCTGCTTGCGCTTTTCCCGTCTCCGGGTAAGAGAGCACAGGCCTCGAGCGGGGGCTTTGGCCCGGGAGCGTGATGGGCGGCACCCGCCTGGGGGCCCCGGTGGAGAAGGGGCTGCTCACGGTTCTCGCCTCCCCGCCGCGGGTTCCCTCGCCCCCCAGCAGAGCTGCTAGCGGAGTTCGCCAACTACTTCCACTACGGCTACCACGAGTGCATGAAGAACCTGGTGCACTACCTCACCACCGTGGAGCGGATGGAGACCAAGGACACCAAGTACGCGCGCATCCTCGCCTTCCTGCAGTCCAAGGCCCGCTTGGGCGCCGAGCCCGCCTTCCAGCCGCTGGGTTCGCTCCCGGAGCCGGATTTCTCCCATCAGCTGCACCCGGCGGGGCCCGAGCTCGCGGCCCACAGCCCCAGGGAGGCGTCCGTGTTCCCGCAGGGCGCCGCCCCCGGGCCCTTCCCCTGGCCGCACGGCCCGGCCCGCAGCCCCGCGCTGCCCTACCTGCCCAGCGCGCCCGTGCCGCTCCCGAGCCCCGCGCAGCCGCACAGCCCCTTCCTGGCGCCCGTGCAGGGGCTGGACCGCCACTACCTGAACCTGATCGGCCACGCCCACCCCAACGCCCTCAACCTGCACCCGCCCCAGCACCCCCCGGTGCTCTGACGCCTCCTCGCCCGCCGGATCTCTCCGAGCGTCGGGCGCTGCCTACGGGAAATACTGCATACTGTACAGGTGTAAATACGGCGCCGACAAAACGGCTGGGTGGGAGAGGGCCAAGAGCAAATTGGTCTCCCGCAATCCCACCCCCCACCCCCCACCCCCCGACCCCCGGCAATAAACGTTTTCTGATAAAGCCCCAAGAGCTGGATTTCTTTGTTACCTTCCGCTCCTCCACAACCACCCCTGCAGGTGCCGAGGGCGCAGCAAGCCGGAAAGGGCCCAGGTGACGACCTTCAGGGCCCGGGGGCGCGGGGACGAGGGGGGCGCTGCGGGGTGTGCGGAGGAGGAGGGAGGGACCCCGGGATGGAGCGGGGTGTCGTGGCTCCCGGAGGAGCAGACCCTCGCCCGACCCGGGCGCACCTTGGGCATTTGCCCCTGAGCCCGGAGCGCGCGGAGACCCGGGCCCCGCACCTCCGAAAATGCAAATCGAGGACCCGCCCCCAGCGGGCCCGAGCGGACCCCGGCCGCATGGGCCCGGGGCGCCCCGCCTGCCGCCGAGAGGAGCCGGGGGTCGCGCGCGCCCCGCGCACCGGCGGCCTGGAGAGCCGCGCCCCTCGGGCCCGCGGGCTGCGGGACTCGGTTCCCAGCCTGAACACGTCTCCGGAGGAAGGAGGGAGAGGAAGGGCCCCCCGAGGTGTGGCTCAAGGCGACGTCCGACGAGGTTTGCTACTGGAGGATGACAGGACTCGGCGCCGCCGGGGGGCTCGGGGAAGCTGGCCTTGCCTCCTGCGCGCACCTGGGCTCCGCGTCGGGGACGCTAGGCCGCCGGGTGGGGACACGCGCTCCCCAGGGGCCGCTCCCCCTGCGGACGCCCCCGCCCAACGCTGGCGCGGGGTCCGGGTGCCCAGGCCCGCCGAGAGAAAGCCTCCCTCTCCCCCTTCCCCGGGGGGAGCCAGGGTGGACTTTAACCTTCTCCACCCAGAACGTCGGGAGGAAAAGTTTTCAGCGTCCAGGGGACACTTGGTCAGTGATCTTTAGGAGATGAGGGTGTTCGAGTCCTACCGGACCCGCGCCCTCCCCACGACACAGCGGTACATTTAATAGCAAACCAAAATCATGTTTTTCTAAGACGCAAACAACAAAAAGAGCCTGCTATTGTTTTATGTAAACAGGTAAAATGAACAAGGTATCCAGCCGGCTAAAGTGTTTGTTGGAGATTTACAGTTTTCTCCTTCATTGATTTTTCCCCCCTCTTTCTTCCTATATTTCCTTTTTCCTAGCTTTGGTGCTCTTTAAATAAATAATATGAAATCATGTAGCAGATTTTCCTGTTTCCAGAGACCGGTTTAACTTAACGGTAATGATGTGTCTTCTCCTGGATTAGCTGGAGGACAATATATTAACTTATTCCATTTCTGTGGACAGGGTTTAAGGGAGCTCTGACCTAGACTATTTACTGAGGTCAAGGAATAGGATGACCTGCAATTTGTAAACCATCAAACTTGATTATGCAGGCTTGCACAATTGATTAAGCCAAAACACACACACACACACACACACACACACACACACACACGGACAACCACCACCACCAAGCAAAAAATAAACCCTCTTCATTACATCACCCATAAAGTGAAATCTAAATGTGCATTGAGGGGGCAGGGGAAAATCTATAAAGTTTAGGAAAGGTCTTGCAAATAAGGAGTTCTTGCCCTAACATATACCTCACGTCACTACAATACTTATCTATAAAATGTGAGAGGCAAATACCTCCTCCCCTCATGAACTGACATAGCTGGAGCCTGAAAGCAAATGTCAGGCCAGGAGGCCTTCCGATTCACAAATATACATTGCGTAGTATGGGATGGAGGCGAATTATGCAGAAATGGGAGAATGCATGGTGCCTATTATTGGAACACATGTCTTACACCCATTTTCATCAGCGCTGGATACAGAATATGAAGAAGGCCTTTCAGGCTTTTTTACTCTGAGCATTAAGCCAATCTGAATTCCCTTTGGCAGTGAAGCATTAAAGATATAGTGTTACCCTGGAAATATAAATTATTAATATATTCAGCATTTTTGTCACTTCTCAACTGTTAACCAAATTAGACAAAACTTTCTTTTACTAAGTAGATTTTCTCTTTGGGATTAGCTTTGGGAATGCACAGGGCCACCACAGTAAAAACTTTGGTCATTTACATATAATTTTGCAAACTTCCACTGGCCCATGACAGTCTTTGTACCTCAAATGTTGGTATTCTTGATTTTTTTTTTCTTTCTCATTTAACTGTGGAGAATAAAACCCTGCTTTGGATTTACAATGACTTTAGGATAAAAGTCTCCCTCCCCTTTCTCTTCCTCCCCCTTTCTGTTTGTGTGTGTGTGTGTCTGTGTGTGTTGTGTCTTTTTCTGAAACCTTCATCCAAAGTTCCAATTCTCCAGGCTTGGCCAAAAGTCAAACTTGGAATAGTCTGACTTTGCAAAAGATTAAAAATGTCACTACAAAATGGAATTGATTCAAATCAGATTGTGACTTTAAAGTGTTCTTTCCTGCACTTTCTCTGACAACACATTACTCCCAGCCTCCCTGTCCCCAACCCTCCCCTTCTCCCCCCTCAGTCTGAGTCTCTTATGCCCAATCCCTCCACTCTTTCTTTTAAGTAAGTTGTATAGTAATGGTTTCCAAGAGAGGCTCAACCAAACCCAGAAATAACAAAAAACAAAAAACAGTGGGTTTGGCTGGAGGTGACCCATTGTGATGCCTCTGAAAGGGGCAACCTCTTGTTTCTTGGGCTTCATCCTTGAGTGGGCAAGAATAAAAATAATCATCCCCATGAAATCAAAGGTTTTCTCCAGAGGCTTGAGGAACAAAGCTGAGGGCTGGTGCTTTGGGTCGGTCCCTGTGGCTCTGTAGGGTAGAACCAGGAGCTTCCAGCCGCCCCCACCGAAAGGGTGGTAATACAGAGCTCACTTGTGCTTCCAAGCGTTATTGAACACACACAGTCCTTGTACCAGTGGGGGCCCTCCAGTCTGGGCTGCTAGATACCAGGCAAGAAAGCTGGAGGAGAAGCTATGAAAGAGCTTCACTGACCCTACGGAGGTATGGGATTCCTAGGAACCTGGCAATGGGCCTGTGCATTCGGAAACACATCGGAAAGGTGACATGCGGCATTTAGTAGGTGCTCAATAAACATTTGTCAAATAACTAAATGAACTGCCTGACGGTGCTGACCCTCTTGGAATTCTGCATCTCCCCTAGACCTCTCATTTCTGGAACCCCAGGCCCCTACCTACTTCAGCAGAGACCAGAAAGTACTGGTATACACAACCGGAAATATGTGATGTAACCTACATACATTCTGACAATTGTCAGGCATAGCAATGGCTCTGCCTTTGCCTAGAAATTCCACCTGGTGGTCTGGCAGCAGGAGACAATGTGTGGCCTGCTTGGTTAAGGCAGTTAACGCCTACTGAGTTCTCAGCTAAATGTAGACCCGAAATCCAGGATTCGAATTCAGAACTAGCCTGATGGGGGTTCTGCTCCTTTCACATGAGAAAGATTCAAGACTGGGATGAGCCAGATTCTACTCTCTTTTCTGTACCACTACTACCCAGATTTGCATTCCAGCTCTGCTGTGCACCAGCTGTGTGCCTTTGGACGAATTGCTAAGCCTCTCTGTGTCTGTTGCATCATCTGTAAAATAGAGCTATTAAAAGTGCATATACCTCAGATGGGTCGCCATGAGGATTAAGTGAGTTGGTACATTCAGAGCCCTCTAGACACTGGCCCACAGCGAATGTTCAACAGATGTTAGCTACTATAACAATAATTATCTAGTACTCCCTCCTTTCTCCCAAGGAGTCAGATCCTTGGGGCTACCTCAAAGTAAAAAGTAAAATGTCAAAGCAATCATTAAACAAAATATTAACCTCTGCCCCCCCCCACAAAGTCTTAAAACCCAAGGTTTGTTCTAGAACAAGGCAATATTCTCCATTTAGGGCAAGTGGGGCTAAGGAGCTCTAATTCCAGTGCATGGTCAATTTGGGGACTGTGAGCCCTTCTCCAGGTGATGACCGATAAGAGCCCCGTGATAACCTTGAGTGTCATCTCTCACACTTCCCTACAAGGAAAGCTGGCCTTATGGTATCCTGCAACAGCTCTTACACCTGCGTTCCCACATTCTTCTCCAATTACACAGCAATGCCCGTTAACATACAAATCTTGGCTGTTGCAAATTCTTTTTCTGGAACATGGGGTAAATGAATAAACGAATTTAATATTCCTTAAGCACACTTTATGGCAGCCTTATGTTCTTCCCAGCATCCCCTTGCCCTGCACTTTTCCCTTGCAAGCCTTTCACCTGTCCCCTTCATCACCCGTCTGCTCCATTGCTGGCTCCAGACTCAAGCCTTGATGCCCGGAAGGAACTCTGTCCTCAGTGCTCACTCCCTTGCTCACTTGGCCTTCAGTACTCATTCTGGTTGCTTGGCTCCTGCGATCGGCTTCTCTATGGGTCGGTGGCCTGGTGTAAGAATGTATCTGTGCGTGTTTCCCCCGTGCAAGGGGGTATTCCTGGAGGAATCCTTCTGACCCTGCTGGTGGTTGCTTCCTGTTCTGCAGCTATCAAGGGCGGAGCTCAGGAGCCGGCCCAGGCACGCAGCAGCCCACAGAAACCCTTTCTCTCTTTGGCTGCCAGCGTGCCCCTGGGAGGCAACCATCCCTACTAGGCTGGTTGGCAGATTCCTAGCTCTTCCTTTATCTCTTCTGGATAAGCTTAATTTTAAGGTCAAGTGTTGCAAGCGCCCCTCTCTACCCGCAGGAGGCACATCCTCTGATCAGTAGCAAAATAGACATTTTTATCTCCACCTGACACCCACATCTACATCTCAAATGATTATGAGCAGAGAGAGGA